AAAACTAGTAGTATGGAAGAAGAAGCTGCCTCCACAGAAGACAGCGCCTGCGGGTTTTCTGCCAGGCATCCAGCTTGTGTCCAAAAGGAATGATAAACATTCTGTTGTACTTAAAGAGGAGTCTTTGGAGACGGAAGAGTTGTTGAGGAAAACAGCGAGATACACAGTTCACCTGGGCATTTCTCTCTTTTCCCCACTTCTTCTTTAGAAAGAGACGTTCAGGAGATTATTCGTTAAGTAGTTGATGGGCAACACTAGGATCTACAGAGTATTTCTGTTTTTCTTCTTCTTTTTCATTTGTCTGCTCTTCTTTTTTCTGCCTCCTACATTTTCTCTGTTTTTCCCACGTATGCAAATACCGCCTTTGATTTCTCTTTTATTTCGGAGGCTGTTGTTGCTGTCGTTAACCACAGAAGGCAGCAAAAGGAAGGCAGTGGAATATCTTGGCCATCTTCGCGCTGCTCTTCCATGTGTAAGCCCTCCCACGCTTATTGAGTACGCGAAACGGCCTGAGAACAGCCCCCTCCTTTCTGCATCCAAAGTGCACTGGACCAAGACGGAGGCTTTCTCCCATGCCCGGGTGGTGGGCGCCCTCTTGGTGGGGAAGGAAGGAGGACAGGCAGGACGGGGCAGTTACTCATCAATCATTTTAGCCCTTAGTGCTGTTTTTCTGAGAAGCTAATGCTAACTGGCTGTTTGAGTAGAATAACCATTTCGCTTTCTTTAGCATAGATGGGAGTGTGCAGTTCAGAACGGGGCCTTTTTCTTGTGGTTTTAGACTGCCCTGAACTAGGTGTTCACTGCTGTTATTTCAGTGATGGACGTTGCCAGATCACCCCAGCAGAGGAAAGTGCTTTCTTTTAAAGACCGTCTGCATTTGTGGAGGATATCGTGGGAGGGAGGCTCGCTTTGAGCAATCTGCATCATTCTTTGGAGACAAAATTGATTGGGCTCGCCCTGCCTTGGGCCAGGCCGTAGGGAGGCCGGTATCTTAGGCTTGGTTATGTGAGGGACTGCTGCTGTTGCTGTGACCCTGAGTCACCAAGAAAGAGCCACTGGAAGATGCTCCTGGGGTCAGCCGCTGGGCTGCCTCGGACGCGGGACAGGCCTTCCTCCGGGTGGCTCCCAGCTGTGGAGGACAACCCCGGGGGAAGGGCATTTGCCCCCCCCCAGCCTTTAGGAAGATGGCAAAATGCAAAATGTGTTTTGCCAGCTTTAAACTGCCAATTTATTTTAATTGTGTTGATTTTTCTCCGGTGCTTTATGTTTTGTATTTTTTAAATTGTTGTAAGCTGCCTCGAGTGCTTATCTAAGCAGAAAGTCAAGAGAAGCACTCGAGGCCGTGCTTACCTTGACTTCATTTGTTTATTATTATTATTTAATAAACACATGAAGGAGTTGTCAGCTGTTCTTGGAAAAGGGTTGAGGCCTGTATGCGTACATTTAATAGGCACAGGTTTCAATCAATATTCTGGCTTCGCATCCTTCTAATTGGGAAAGGAAAATCTTTGCCATTGACTTAAAAAGGGAAGATATGGTGGGACAGTCTCTTATCAGATTTTTATCCTGCCTTTTATATCTTTCAGCCAACTCAAGGCGGCAAATGTCCCTAATCCTTCTGCCTCCTATTTTCCCCACAACCACCACCCTGTGAGGTGGGTTGGGCTGAGAGAGAGAGACTGGCCCAAAGTCACCCAGCCGGCTTTCGGGCCTAAGGGAGGCCTCGAACTCACCCTCTGCTGGCTTCCAGGCCAGCACCTTAACCACTACGCCAAACCAGCTCTCTTTTGTGTAAAGATGAGGGGCGTGTCTTGCTTCAGAGGTTGTTCATAGTCATCATCCCTGACTATCAGCCATTGCACTAAATTCACTAAGATTTGAGATTTGAGGGTTCCTGCCCTTGCTTTAGAAAGTCCCTTGCCCTGGGGACGTAGCAGTAAACTTGGAAATGGGACACCAGACCTCCAATGTTTTGACCAGCCCTGAATTACAGCTGGGGACATTTGGCAACCCTCCGTTTTCGTTCATGAAGTGAATTAAGTGAAAGCAAGAGAATTCATTAAAGATTTGGTAAATCAGGTGTGGGGAAACTCCAGGTCCCCAGATTTCGTTTGCATGCAGGCATCTCTTGGCTGCGCTACTGTGGCTGATCGGAGCTGGCGCCCGGTAGTACTTGAACAGCTTTTGTTGCTATCAGGGGCTGCATAAAAGACTGAAATTCATCAGGAAAACATTTGGTGGAATCGTGGGCGGACTGATCCATCCATCTTCTCCATTGTACCGAAAGCCTATATTTGGCAAAAAGGGAACCGTTGTTCTGGTGATTTCCTTCTTGCGGAAAGTGGCGGCTTTTGCGCTCGAAAGGCGCGACTGGTTGCTGTTCAAGGCTCCACTGAGCTGGAGCCGGACAGATCCGTGTGACGGTCCCTTCGGTCAGAGGCCGGTCACGGTGGCAATAAGTTGAATCCTGGATTGAACGCGGAGAAGGATCACGGAGGGCTGCGGAAGTCGCATCAGTGTAAATGTGCCTCTCCTAATGTGCATCAGGAAGACACACATTCACAAAGCAACTAGGGTTGTTGTGTCATTGGTCTTTTTTTCCAGATACTTAGCTTACCGTAATTTCATGATCGACACCTATCGCTTGAACCCTCAAGAGTACCTGACTAGCACTGCCTGTCGAAGAAACCTGACCGGGGATGTTTGTGCTGTGATGAGGTACTTCTGGCTGCTCTCCCCTACAGAGGCCACAGTGCCTTCAACCCAGCAGATCTCTTTCAGCCCCAGTCCTGCTGGGTGGTGACACGAGCAAAAACCTGGGGTGGGAGGGGTACACTGCTGCTTGGAAGTGCTAAGTACATATATCCATGCGCATAGATCAGTGTTTCTCAACCTTGGGAGCTTCTTAACCAAATCCAGATGGAAAGACTTGTTTTATTTATTTTTCCCCACCTTTTGGCTTAAGAGCCTTCAGACAGCTGAGCAATTAAAGCACCGTTTTAACAATCAGCAGCAGTGTAATTGTGCCAGCCGAACGCCACCAGAGCAATGTAAGACAGCAGTTAAAAAACAAAACATGCCTAGGAACCTAAGAGGAATCAGAACCCCAAGAGGAACAATGCCAAGCCTGGCACAGAAATGTCCTCACTTGCTTTAATAAGGGTTTGCCCCTCTGCCAAATCCTCATTGAGGAACAGACTGTTTGGGCCCCAGAAGGAGATGGGTGAAGAATGGGGTTCACCTGATTGGGAAGTTGCTTTTCAGAAGCCCCTAGGGCAGTGTTTCTCAACCTCAGCAACTTTAAGATGTGTGGACTTCAACTCCCAGAATTCCCCAGCCAGCATGGGTGGCTGGGGAATTCTGGGAGTTGAAGGCCACACATCTTAAAGTTGAGTTGAAGTTCACACATCTTAAAGTTGAGTTGAAGTTCACACATCTTAAAGTTGAGTTGAAGTTCACACATCTTAAAGTTGAGTTGAAGTTCACACATCTTAAAGTTGAGTTGAAGTTCACACATCTTAAAGTTGCTGAGGTTGAGAAACACTGCCCTAAGGTATGTGGGAACTGTGCAAGAAGGCCTTGCCCCCTGGCGGCCTCAGAGATGAGTGAGTGCCGCCCCATTTGGATTTGCCCTGCTGTAGCCAAGCAACGTGAGCCAGCTTTCTCCTTATGGTGCTCCTCCACTTCTCTTCCCGAGCCTTTTCATCAGTCCTCCCTGTTGTTGCCTCTCAGGGTACACGCTTTTCTGGAGCAGTGGGGGCTTATTAATTACCAAGTGGATCCAGAGAGCCGGCCCATGGCCATGGGGCCTCCTCCCACCCCACACTTTAACGTGCTTGCTGACACCCCCTCTGGACTCATGCCGCTCCACCTGCGGACTCCTCAGGTAACGGTCCTTCTGGCAGGGCTGATGGGTCTCTTGAACTTTGATGCAGCCTTCGGGATGAGATGTGCCTGTAAAACTGGGTTGTATCAAGTATCAGTGGGAAATATTTGCGGAAAGGAGATTCTCCATGACCCTCTTTCCCTATTAAGGGAGTTTTCCCAACCCTGACTCCATGCCTGGGCATTGGTTGTGTGGAGAGGATGAGGGGAACTGTAAAAAGAACTTTTGGAGAGCATATTGGGGTGAAGGTGTGCTAGTTTCTTAGTTTTTAGCATCCTTTCTAGTTTTCAAATCTCTATTCACAAACATTGGCTCAGCTTCCTAGCTAGGATATGACCCTAAAGCTGCAGTTGATATTTGTAGTGTGGAAGAACTCTGGGCTTTGTTTTGATTTTTAACTGGGAGGAGGGGAATACTGTTTTGGAGCACTCTGGGTAGTAGTGATACAGGTAGTCCTTGCTTAACAACCACAATAGGGACTGGAAAGTTGGTCGTTAAGTGGGACAGTCATTAAGCAAGTCACCACATGACCAGACCCGATTTTATGACCATTTTTACGATGGTCATTAAGCGAATCATGTCATTAAGCGAATCCAGCTTCCCCAGTGGACTTTTTTTGCCAGAATTCATTTAACAACCATGTGATTCGCTTAAGAACCATTGTTAAAAGGTTGCAAATCGCAATTGTGTGACTGGGGGTGTGTGTGATGATTTGCAATGATCATAAGTGTGAGTACAGGTTGCAAAGCATTTTTTCCAATGCCATTGTAACCTTGGGCCATCATTAAACAAACGTTCTTTAAGCAAGGGCTGCCTGTATGCACTTGGAGCGTATAGTACTTCTTAAGCACTTTGTGTGCATATTTTCAGAATGTAGACTTGATTCTGTGTTTGAACTATTAGTTCAGCTTTCCTCTTAATGCTTTCAGATTCTTCTTCCTGTTCTCATCGCTCTGCCTTTTTTCGTAGATTCCAGCTGCCCAGCAGATGCTGAACTTTCCTGAAAAAAACAAGGAGAAACCTACAGATCTGCAGAATTTTGGGCTTCGCACAGACATCTACTCAAAGAAAACATTAGCAAAGGCAAGGCATTAAGTTCTCCTTCTTCCCTTTAGGACAGTGTTTCTTGACCTCAGCAACTTTCAGATGTGTGGACTTCAGTTCCCAGAATTCCCTAGCCAGCATGCACACTCTCTTGAAGTCTTAAAGTTGCTGTGATTGAGAAACTCTGCTTTAGGAAATCCCAGAGTGTATAATCTTTAAGTCTGAACTGACGAGGGTACCGAGTTGTTATCTTGGAGGTCAGTGACCATCCCACCCAACAGCCTTCCGACCGCCGGGAGCTCTTGCTTCAGCTCCAGGCTGATCCAGTTCATTTTGCTGCTTCAGGCAGCAGCGACTGGTCGTCCTTCAAAAGGCACAGGTCTCCCTGATACTGGCGTGCATTCTGCCGGCCCTTCAGTCAGAATAGATTGGGGAAGGATTTGTCCAGTCGCACAGTTCCATTTATCTCATCTTGTAATTAGTCCAGCCTTTTAATCTGCTCTGCGTGCGATAGACCCGTAAACATTTTTAAAATTTTCTTCCAGAGCAAAAGTGCTAGTGCTGGGCGAGAGTGGACCGAACAAGAGACTCTGCTTCTGCTGGAGGTAAAATAAAAATGTAAAGGTCAAACATTGGGAGTTTGGCAAGAGGGAGGGTGACTATGATGTGAAAATTCAGGTGCTGTCAAGTTCATTTTAAATGCTGGTGTAACTTGGGTTAACCTGTGTCTGTGTTAGCAGTAGAACAGAGAGACTGTTTTGTGGTTGGTGAGAGGAGTGCTTTCCAAGTGAACACAAACTTTCTAAATGCACTTCAAACATAGTATCAATGTTTGTCTGTGGCTGTGACAGCCAGAATGTGTCGCATTTATATTTGACTTTGCTGGGAAAGACCCTTCACAGAGTAAATCAGAATCTTCTAGTCCTACCCAAGTAGTTAGCCTGCCAAGGTGAGCCTCTGATGATGTTTACAGTGTTGTAGAATGTCACTGGCTGTTAGGGGAAGCCGTAAATACTGGTACGTAAAGCTTAGCTTCTTTGCCACGTGGAAACTTCTATTCTGTGGTCAAGAGTCTTGGTCTTGTCTTCGGGTAGCAAAGGAAGGCCAATTTAATATTGGGTTTATTCAGTCCATTCCCTAAAATGATGGCTGCCCTACGCTCTGCCTGGTACAAATGCCCCATTTTGGCAGCTTCCAACTATGTTGGGATTGCAACTCCCAGAAATCCACCGCAAGGATGAATAAAAAATTAAGAGCATTGTGATCCCATCCCCTTGGGAAAGCATTGATTTGTGGAAGTCTAATCTCAACCAAGAAATAGACTAAAAGCCACAACCTGAAAATCAGGAAGACAGGTGTATCTGACATAAAATCCATGAAAGGCAGCAGACCTTTAAACAAATACTGCAGTTCAGTGATAACTCCATTGCTGAAATGCTTCTTAGGCTACTAAAAATAATTTGTATTTATTTATTTATATTTCAAATTTAGATACCACCCATCTCACAAAAAGTGACTCTGG